AGGCACACAGAGTGACAGTCAGATGCCAGAGTAACCCATCACTGCAACTAGAGGAGAGGGTCGCTCTGAACCTCTCTCCCAGCTGAGAGCAGGTACTGATCAAGTTGCTGTTGGACTCTCTTAATGTTTATTGGCTTTTCTTCTCAGTAAGCTGTCTGGAGACATTGTGGAGTGGAAGGCTGGCCCTACAGAGCTCCCCAGCACCCGCATTGCTGCCACCTAGAGCTCTCTGTTTCCACATGAAGCATTTCAGAGGTCATTGCGTAGCTTTTTTACACCAGAGGGAATGTCACTCCAAATGCTCTCAAATAGTCTTTTATCTTTTCATCTCTGCAATGCACTGCACAAAGGGGCATCCAATGGTCTCAAGACTTGATAGTCATGAAGTTGTCTGTTTGAGGGTTGGAGGGCTGGGAGCTGATGCCTTTTTTTCACAGAACTAAGTTGTAAAATAGGAGAGAAAGTGCTGAACTGTGATTTGAAAATGTCTTCCATAAGCTCTTTGATGTGTAAGAACTCGTTTTGCTCTTCTAAGTGACTCTTTACTTCCAAAACACACACATGCTCTTTGTATTTCATTTTTTCAACTCTTTATTTCCTCTTTTTCCTTTAAATTCATTCTCTAACATCAAGAGTATGAACTCTTCTGACGGTAACCTAGACATGCAGAGAGGCTGTAATACCCTGGCAACTTAAACTTTCTGTCATAGATTAAAATGATCAGGAGAGAGTGTTTGAGGTGTCCTTATTTCTGTTAGCTTTGTTACCTAACCCCAAGTGACAATGTAAGCGAGCATATGGACTTGCTGACATTCAGCAAAGGCGTTCAGTAGCATCAATATTAGCTTTGAACATTTTTCCTTCCATTTGTCATGACTTTCCCTATTTCTGCAAAATACATGTTTCCTGTTTATCCTTATATTCTTTTCAGAACATTGCATCTTGACTTTATTTCACTTAATGTACCATATTTCTCTCCACAATAGAATATTTTAAAGCTAAATTGGCACAAAACAGTAGCAATGCTGAATGCTTTTTGTTGCCATGGAAATATTTCTGGGCACTTACAGAAGACCTGGTTGCCAATAGTAATGTAACAGAGAAAATAGATATGCTTCATTTAGCAGACACTGGTGATTAAAGAGCAACAGAAACCTGGTCATTCCCATATATAGTTTATCTGGTTTAGGGGGAAAAACCCCACCAACCCTAGATGAGAATAATTTTGTTTTAAAAAAGATGAAAAAGAAAATCTAATAGTTGTTCCCTACTCTTAAGCTTACAGCTCGCTTCTGAGGTAAAATAAAATAAAATTGCAGTTAAAAGCCATCATTACCCCTTCTCCTTTTTATCAAATATGTTTTTGATCCCATTTTTTTCCTCCTTGGAAATGTTTCCTAGCTCCCAGAGTAGCTTTTCTGAGGCCCCAAAGCAGCATACACATTACTGAAAACCATTTTTAGGCTTAGGGATCTAGTAACGTCTTTGAGCAATGAAATTCTTGGGTTCTTAAGTCAAACGTCTGTTAGACACTGTGAGGCATGCTAATCAGCAGGGTGCAGGTTTGGCTGCCGCCGAGTCCTAGTGTGTATTTAAATCATGCTGGTAATGTTGTGCCAAGGTTTCAGACAAATACAAGGAAAAGTTTTCTCTTTGGATGCTTTTGTTCCACAGTTTAAAAATGAGGAGGTAGTTCAGCAGAAATGCCAGGTGTTTGGTGTAAGAGGTCGGTGATGGGAAGGCTGACCCTTCCATGCATGCAAATCCTTGCCACCATTCGCAAATCATGTAGTTGTAAATTTTGCAAATACAGATGAACTTGCTCTTGCAGCTTCCTTGAGACCCTCCTTCATTGTCTAACCTCAGTGTTTCTGATAGAGAAACTGTCTCCCATTGCAGAACACGGAGAGAGCATCCTTTTTTCATCCCCCCACAGCTCAGCTGACTGGGGGTGGCTGGCAAGGGGGTGGCTGCCAGATCCTTAAGAATTGGAAAAAAGCAGTGGAGCAATAAAGCCACTTCTAAAACCAGTGCACTTGCAAGCAGAGGGGTAGAGCTGGCCAGTACGTCTGCTTCCCAGCCTGAATCTATAGAGGAAAAAAAATAGTAATGAAAAAGGCGAAGACCAGCAATAATTATGCGATGAACACAATGGCTTTTGCCCATTTCTTCCTCAGGGCCCATGTCCTTTGCAAACAAACAGTCAAAGTGACCATTAAGTTATCAGCTTCAGCAGACACTGCTCTGAAGAGGCATGGGAACAGACACACCAGCAGAGCTGAGTCTTCTGAATCAGAGCTGAACTATTTTTGCACAGCGAGTTCTGTGAGTGAAGAGTCTCCCAAGCTGTCTGACAGTGTTCATAACACTCGTGTGATATATAGGTGAGCACTACTCTTAAACTGCATGAAGTCCTTCGAGATTTTTTCCCCCCATCAATTAGACAGTCTCAATGACAGCTAAAGTTTGCGTTTCAGTTCCACTAAAATAAATTTTTTGACCTTGGAATGCTAGGAGGTTTGACGTCCTAATAGGAGTCTTGTCTAGATGGCTGGATAGTTATCCTCAATGCACGTGTAAGGGGAGGTGTGCCTCTGAGGCTCTGGGAGTTCTTCAAACTAGAAAGCACTATTGCATTTACTTACCTTGGCCTCCAGCTTAACAGGGGTCATTGATTTTTGCCAGTTACTGCTGCAGTAGAGGAAATTATTCTTTCTTCTGTATGTGAGCACAGCTGACCTCAGCAAATGACCCTTCATACAGCTGGGAATTCCTAGGCAAGAAGTGAGTTTTCATTTCATATAGCAAAATATACCTATAACAAAAAGATGCTGCTTGTGTGATGAATAAAACTTCTGCTTGAACCTGAGACTAAAATAGCTAGATGGCCAGCTTCCACGTAAAGATCCTAGATGTTTATAAATTTTATCTCCTGTCTGGCTTTGGAGCCAGCCGGTGCTCTAACCAGAATGTAGCCCTATAAAAATCAGCGCCTGTACTCAAAGCAGGACATTTACAGAGGCTGCACTGAATCAATAGCACCACTAGGACTGAGTGAAGGAAAGCGAAG